CGCGAAGAATTGAAGGCATAAGTCCAGAAATATACATCATTTTATTTTCAGTTTTGCCGACTTTTGGCAATTATGTTCAATTACAATGGGATCCAGCTGCTCGATAGGCCTAAAATTTAACTACCATGTACCTGAGATGTATTATATTGTGCTGAAAAAAACTCCGAGCCCAAAATGTATCCAGGGAATGCAAAATTGGTGATTGTCTCAAGTGGTGATAGCGTCTCAAGTGGTGGTACAATACTGTATATAGAGAAAATTATTATTTTTGAATTTTTAGGATTTATTTATTTAGAATGTACAAAATGATTGATGCGGCAAGAATATTGGAAAGCACTGTAATAATCACTGAGCGTTTCCCATTTATCCGTTTAAACTCACAGCTTCACATAGCATTGCTATGCGTCCATATGCTTTTCATCATGCAACTATATGCTTTTCATCATTTACATAGTTTTAGCATAGCTATCAATACTCTATATTTATCACTCCCAAATCCTATATAGACTACCATAGTACGCTCATGTACTTCAATTGATAATTAATATTCTTGGTAGTGTTGGGCACGGGTTCGGGTAAACCCGTGGGTTTTCGGGTCAGGTCAGGCCAGGTCCGGGTCCGGGTTATGAATTTTCGAGACCCAAAAACCGCGGGTTCACTAAGGGTGTCAAGAACCGGACCGACGAATAGCCAAAACTTCGAAGAAATAAAGCAGATGTTGGAATAGACCCAAATGCTCGATCTGCGCAAAGCCAATCGAGACCGAGCAGGCCCGAAGGTGTGAGAACCAAAGAGCTGGATCAAGCATAAGAGTCTCAGGAGTCCAAACGGGAAGTGCAGGACGTGTGAAGAGTCAAACGACCAAGCGTATAAAGCTCTGAAGTCCAAACAGGAAGACAGAGGGTGTACGGAAGCAAGAACAAAGGTCTCGGGGTCTGAACCGGACTGAGGAGGTGTAGAACAGCGAAGGAACCAACACCTGGGGGTCCGGACACAGAGGCGGGATATAAGTGAAAGCAGAACCTAAGTCTTGGGAGCCCAAACGACACCAATAAAGCGGTAGACCACCGAGCGTGAAACACTCGGGGGTCCAAGCGCATCCGAGTGGGTTCCAAAGCTAGAGGCTGGTGGCCGATGCCAGGCCGAGTAGAGATCGACCGATGAGATGCGAGATGCCGAACCGGGCCAACGAGTTGTTGAACAAACAAATGTTTAACACTCTGGTGTCCGTAACTGTTGCCAGTGTGCAGCGAGTGATCATCCGAGTGTAGAACACTTTGGATGACCGAGTTGACAGGCTGAAGCATCGGGGGCCGAAGATAATGGCTATGGAGGGCCGGCAATGTCAACCGCAAGCGGAAGACAGCAGGGAAGCGAAGTACTAAGAAACATGGGCACGGATGAGTGCAGTGAAGGTGCGGATCATAGAATGAAACTTCGTGATCATAGATGGGCTCCTTCAAAGCTGTGTAGTACATCCGGGAGGCCGAAGGTTGAAGCGGGAGTGCCGTGTAAGTTTCAGGGTCGAAGTGCAACCTGCTCCATGAGAAAGAACATTCACAGAACACTGCAAAGTTCTCGCTTGGAACCCGACCGGGTTCTGAGCTGATCAGAGCCAAAGAAGCAGAGAGGGCTTGGCCTCAGCTCATGTACTGTGCCATCCCATATGCCTGGTGCCCAATTTCGGAGGATGAAGATAAGAGGGAGAATAGAAGTGGAGAGGAAGCAAGTCTCAGACAAGATGCAAAGTCGTAATCTTAGTCGATGTTATATCCGTTCACTTTGACCTAGTGTCCCGACTGGCTCCCGACTTCGGTTTCCTATACCGACCTGATCGGTCAATTACTCCATCTCCTGACCTATCGGTCCCTCAAAGGGTTTTTATGCAATGAAGCTTTCTGAGTGTTTCCCTTTAATCTGATTGGCTCTTATTGTCTTTTCAGACTTCCCGTGATAATCATTGAAGTCTTATTACTATATATATTCACTTTTATTGTTCTATGCAACTTATGCTTACTATGGTATCCTTATATCTCAGAACAAACTCGTAGGTATAAAAGCTAGTGTACTTAGCCTGTATTCCTCAGTTTGATTATTGAGTTATTCTGTGCTCTCTCGAGTTAACTCTCTCGCTTCCTGAACTCGCCCTCCGACTAGCTTATATGCTGGTCATCGTTCATTGCGTCCATCGGCCTACACCTCGCCCGACAACATCAGTCCGCAAAGCTTAGTAGTCACGCACCGGGCCTTAACTTCCTTGTGGTGATCGCGTAACTGACCATTCTAGTCTATCGGATTTGTTACATTGGCCGACATCATTGGCCGACCGATAGCCCTTTGCGCGGCATTTAACAGTCGAGGTCTTAGTTGATATTCAAACTAACTAGACGAGACAATACAGGGGGCTACTTATAGTGTTTAAGGCTATCTACTGGAAGTCTGGATGATGCGATAGCTAAGGACATGAGGTAGAACATGTGAACACAAAGACAATAAGAAAGTATACCCAAACAGGCGAGAAGCGAAACATGTGTTGAAGACAATAAGAACCAATCATATTAAAGGCTCGGCTCTGAAGCGGTGATTTGAGCTCCGGCCCAAGCGGGGCCCAAGGCCTCAGAAGCTGAGCGGGTCAGACAGAGGGGTTCTGGGCAGAAGTAGCGTTGGGCGCGGGTACGGGTAAAACCCGCGGTATTACGGGTCGGGTCAAGCGGGTTCGGGTCACGGGTAGTGTCTGATGCATACCTGCAAATACCGTGACCCGTTCGGGTAGACCCTACGGGTTTACAGGTCAATATTTACCATTTTCGTGCCACTTTTGCGCATAACTTTCGCACTATGTAGTATTCTAATAGCTGGTCATGGTAGTTGGTATGGACCTGTTTTAATGAGTCGGTGCAGACATTGTGCCGACTCCTTGGCTGACTCATCGAAACGTCTGCACCAACTGCTGTGACCACATAACATAAGACGCCGTGATAGAGCGGTGACAGCTGTCAAACTCATGTCATAAGCGTGAGTTCCAGCCCACCGCGCACTCTATTATCCCGAGCCATTACTGTGTTCAATACTAGGACTGACTGGCTGGATCTGCACCAGGTGCTGCCATGACTGCACCTACTATCTAAAATGTAAGACACCGGCTTCTGAGCGGTGACAGCTGTCACCACTGACAGCTAAATCAGTTGTACACCACAAATTGGTACTTCTCGGTGCGATACAGCGGGTATACCGTCCGGGTCGTGGACCCGCGGGTCAACCCGGCCGTACCCGTGGCAGAACAGATACGGGTTGAGACCCTTACCCAATGGGGGTATGGGTTCCATGGGTTCAGGTGCGGGGTGGCGTCTTCAGACCCGGACCCGGACCTGTGCCCAACACTAGGCAGAAGCGAAAACATTGGTGGTCTGAGTATAGTGATGTTACGGGCCTGGCCACGGCACAAGCCCACCGAAGCCCAGCCAAGCCCGTTGCCTTTTCCGGACCGATTTTTAATTTCTCAGAAATTCAATGACCAGATTTGGGCCCAGAAAGTCGGTGCGCATCAGATCCGCCACATCTTTTTGTCAAAATCCAAAGTGATTTTCCTCATTTTTCTGAATTTAAAATATGTGATCCGCCCAGTAGGCTTAGAATGGAAATTTGACCCGGACTGCCTATTCACTTTTTTTGTGACAGGTCTGTGACGGCCAGCACGGCAGCGCAGGCTTGGCTGGGCTTCGGCGGGCCTGTGCCGAGGCCGGGCCTGTAACATCACTATCTGAGTATGCATTGCGAAGATGCGGCAGAGCTTCACAAACATGGTAAGGCAAAGGCACAACGGAAGGCTGAAGTCATAGCACCAGAACAAGGCAGAGAAGCCTCAGAAGGCCTCAGAAGGCCTCGGAAGGCTGTTGGATTAAGCGGGGATGTGCGGCCAAGCTCCATGAGCAAAAGGAGATGAAACTTAGTGAAGATCCAAAGTTTATTGACCAATACCGAAACAACCAGCTGAAGGCGATCAGTTGCGAGCATGCATAAGGCTCGGAAGGTCCTGGACAGCCACACCAGAGGGCCGATGGTGCTGCGCACAAGTGCGAATGGGTCTGGGAGTGAGGTGAGACTAAGTAAGCTCAGCTGAAATCCAGATAGATAGAGCCCTGAGGCATGGACCGATGAATATTGAATGCTGCCGTCTAGTGGCAGTTGACAAACAGCTATATTTGACTAGCCGAAGAAGAGACTTGCAATCCTTGGGCCTTGGGGTGGCTGTTCTCCCTTTCAACCCTGCAGGGCAGTGTTGCAGTTAAGGGGGTTATTAAGGGTGCCTCCGGAAGTTAAGGCCTTAAGCCTTGTTAAGGCTTAATTAAGGGTCTGATATTAAGGGTTTATTAAGGGTTAATATTAAAAATGGCAACACATGTACTCCAAATAATTGTCCCCACATCGGGTTCCTTGCTGCTGTGTTCTGTGGCAAGGAGCTCCATGTACAGGGTCTCCTCCAACACCACCTTCACATGACGAGCCGGCCGTCTGAAGGGCCGCGCAATTGCAGCCGCCGAAGAGATTCACAAGTGGGTTGCTCTGTGGTGCAAGCCATTGGGTTTTTCTTTACTTTTGTGGAAATAGGCACACAACGGCCTCCCTGGGTGGCATTTGGTTGTCGAGTGATGGTGGTGGTGGGCGAGACAGGCAAAAATTTAGCCAATCATAATTGGGTCTCGGGCCGCTCCGATCAATGCGATCATTAAGCCCTTAATAAGGGCTTAACAAGTTTTTGATCTGATGTTAAGGGGTACCCTTAACCTTAACTTAAGCCCTTAATATCTTAAGGCCTTAACCCTTAACTGCAACACTGCTGCAGGGTGAGGATGCCTGTTGGCCGAGCGAGGGGTTTTGTAGACTTGGCATTACAATTAGACTTGAGTAAACATATTTTTAAATAAACTCGATCTAGTAACCTAACTGATCACCATCGCCATGCTGTTGTTGATAGAAGTACCACATCAGCCATAATGTATGGTTGGATGGCCGAGTGGTCTAAGGCGCTAGAATCAGGTTATACACTATCTAGTCCGAAAGGGCATGGGTTCGAATCCCATTCCAATCATGCTTTTTACTTATATTTAACCCATACATACTTTTTTTTTCCCGCCTCGAATCAAACAGTAAATTCAGGCATTCCACACAGGGTTAATCACAAAACAGATCTCGCTAATGCACATATTACTGCTGTTGCTGTTGGCGGGCGGCCGCGGGACCCCTCCGCCGCCCCCCACCGCGTCTTGCACCGTGTCCGCCCCACCCACCAACGTACCCGCCAGGACCGAGTAGCCCTACACCTCCCGGCTCACCAAACGTGGCGACATTCTTCTCGCGCTCCTCCTCGCGGCGGTTGTACCCACCTCTTCCCCGTCCACGATTCCCGCGCGCGCTTTGCCCTTTAGGCACCGGCGGCGGCGAAGTTAGCGAGTCGAAGAATGACTTTTGAGGGTTATACGCCGCGCTCGTTGAAGGTCCCTCCTTATCCTTCCCGCCCCCGGCCCCGCTTTCCTCCTCGTCGCTGGGGTTCGTGCGGTCGCTGCCTACGTCTGCGTGCGCGGCGCGCGCCGCGAGGGCGGCCTTGTCGAACTTCGCGTTCATGCTCGCAAAGTCAAAGTCCACTGCTGGAACAGAGACGGCGCCCGTCGGTGTCTCCTGCCCAGCGGGCCGCCTCGATCGCTGCCGGCGCCCCCCATTGCCAGCGATGCCATTAGCACCAGCAGTGCCATTAGAGACGCGCAGGTCGCCAAGCGCGCGTTCGACGGTTTCGAGCGACGCAGCAGCAGTGTGGATCGCGCTCTGGTGCTGTGTTTGGGGCGGCGGATTTTGGGCTTGCGGTCCGGCCGTTGGGTGGTTAGCACGGTGACGCGGCGCTGGCCGGGGTTGCTGCTGTTGCTGAACTGGTGGCGGGGGCTGGCGAGCAGGCAGCTGTTGGGCAGTCTGCTGTGCATACGACGGCGCAATAGGTGCGGCCGGTGGCGGAGCCTGTGTTGACGCCTGAAGCGGAATGAGCACGCGACAACAAGAAACAAATCATGTACCCCGATGACGGCAGGGTCGTCGTGCACACTGCGACGAGGCGCGGGCGGCTCGTCGACGGAGAGATCTTTCACCTCTGAGGCGCGAAAAATGATGTATTGGTATGGTTCTTGGACCGGTGGAATGTACTCGTTAACGGGGCTAAAGACGGCCTGAACAAAGAGAAACGCCAATGACGGACTAATTACCGACGAGACTCGGTACCCATAGAAAAGACTGGGTAAGAGTAAATGTCTTTGTGCGAGAACATGAGAGTGAAAACGAACCATTGGAAAGTTGAATGGTGGACGCTGCAGGGTCGATACCCGCGAGAATGCCTCTGTAGCGCACATCTGAATGAGAAATAAGAGAAATCGGTTTCCTGGGTTAGAATGAGACGGGATCCGGCGACGCGCAGACGCAGTACAGGACATACCCAATGAAACTGAGAGCCATGGAAAGAGACAAGTGACAAGTCGTGTTCAAACTCCGATCACACTCCGCTTGCTGTAGACTCTGACTCTGAGAGTGTAGATGGATTCCGTGCAGTACATGCCATACTTCACCTTGTATTCTGCCCAGTCACTCCAGTCAATGGCCCAGTCGCTCTAGTCGCTGAGCCCGCTTCCTGAGGATTTATTTCGATATTGCGTGTGACTTGACCACCTCTGTCCCCCCATCCATGCTCAACGGAACAGGTATCAAGGTATTTTCTGGTTCGTTTCCTGTCTTTTTTCTCTTTTGCATATATACTCACCGGTTGCAGGCACGAGCCATCCTGAGCTTGCAGAAATTATTGCTCGCCGGTACTTTTTCTTCGCTCGCAGTTTTGTCTGCATAAGCCCAGATTCGTGCCCACACTAGGATCGGCCTCCCGGTCTCCCGCGCAGATATCACGAAAAACAGCATTGGCGAGACCAACGTCCGCATCGAAGGTGCGTCTATGCGCTCCTCCTTTCCCTGGCTGAATTCCACCAAGAATCCGTGCGCGACGACGATGTCTACATCGTCAACACCTGCTGCGGCGCTGTCAACACGTCCCTCATGGAGCTTTGCATCATGATCCACGCCTGCAAAATCGCCAGTGCCAAGCGCATCACCGCAGTCATCCCTCTTTATCCGTACGCCCGCCAGGACAAAAAGGACAAGAGCCGTGCCCCCATCACCGCAAAGCTTGTTGCGAACATGCTTCAGCACTCTGGCTGCGACCATGTCATTGTGCGCGAAATTTTTGGTTGAGCAGATTTGTTTCTCACTCGCCACTAGACGATGGACCTGCACGCATCTCAAATCCAAGGATTTTTTGACGTCCCAGTCGACAAGTGCGTCTTATAAATAACGCCCATTCCACATCTGACTTCTCATAGTGTAAGCGCCTTTCTCGTTACTTTACTCTCTTAACCTCTGGTAGCTTTATGCTGAGCCCTCTGTCATCCTCTACATCCGCACCCACTTCAATCTCAATGACGTTGTCATCGTCTCTCCCGACGCAGGCGGCGCCAAGCGGTCCGTCGCCCTCACTTTCCCGTCATCCCTTCCTCACTCAACCTCTGCGTCTAGTGCAACGTCCATGGCGGACCGCTTAGGTGTGGACTTTGCACTCTTCCACAAGGAGCGCAAAAAAGCGAATGAGGTCTCGCGCATGGTCCTTGTCGGGCACGTCGCGGGGAAGATCGCCATTTTAGTCGACGATATGGCAGACACCTGCGGTACACTTGTCCTCGCTGCGTCCCACCTTGCTGATGCGGGCGCTTCATCCGTCTATGCAATCGTCACGCACGGCATTCTCAGCGGAAACGCCCTCCAAACTGTGACCGAAAGTCACCTCGAAAAGCTCATCGTCACGAACACACTCCCCCAAGCCGCTAATCAGGCCCAGTGTGCTAAAATTGAAGTAATCGACATTGGCGCTGTCTTGGGCGAGGTCATTCGTCGCAGTCATTACGGCGAGAGCGTCAGCAAGCTATTCCACGAGGTGCCGTATTAGCGATCTAGATACTATTCTATGTAACTTTATCTACCATGGACATTGAATAGAGTGACAGCCGTATTAATTTGGACACTTTTCAGTACACAAGCGCAGACATCGCTCAGGCTTAGTCTTGCATGCTATGCCGAGCCAACAGTGTAAGACGAATCAAAGAGTTTGCCGCGGAGCTTGAAATCGCTTCAGGGTACTTTTTGTATAATCAACTACTATACATCTTCATTCAAATCTTCACCTGTCCCTAGCGTCATCTCGTCAAAGCCCTCGAGCAATTCGTCTAATTGAACCTCAGGGAAATCTGCCTCGTCCTCGTCCTCGTCGTCCACGCCTGCAACGTCGACTTCCGGTTCAGCCGCATCGACATCCATGGCAAATTGCGCTTTATGTCTGCTCCCCTTGCCACCGCCCGAGCGGCGTTGTACGGGCAAAGTACCCATTTGCGTGTCCTGCATGGGCGCCTTGTACAAATTGACCACACCGCGCATCTCTGGATCCTCCTCCAGCTCACGCAAGAACATTTCATAGTCTTCCTCGATCTTGCGCTTGTCGCGCCCACCCATGCGGCCCACGATGCCGCGCTCAGCACCTGTCTCACCCTCTTCGCCTGCTTCTTTCCCGATGCTCCGGAGCCGCCAGTTCCGCGCCTTGCTCTTCTTCCGGCGGTTCGGATACGCCTTCTTCACAAGTATCACGTCAGGCAGATGCTCCGCGCGCAAGGCGGTGTAGTCTGATGAGTTGAAGTTGGCATTTGTTAGATGGTACCCCATTACGGAGTCCCCTGGCTGCAGGATCGCACCAAGGTGCGTACGCGTATGGAAGATCTGCGCCGCGCGCCCTCCATCATACTCATCCATGATCTCGTCGCTGTGTGAGCGAAATGCGCCGGCTAGTGCGACCTGTGCCTCTGCAAGGACGTACTTGCCGCGCGTGCGCACGCTCGGCTCGATGTCGAGCACCGTGAACTCCACGAGATCTGCGACTGATGCGAGGCTCTCGAATGGGGTGCGCCAGTACGCTGCGCTCGTAAGATCAGCCGTTTGCAGTGTAGCTGGGTCCAGCAGCTGCAGCGAGTTGCCGACCCGCACGCAAAGCGTTAACGGATGGATGTTGCTCATTGCGCGTGCCAGTTTGGGCGGGATGCACACGAGGTCGTCCTTGCAGACCGGGGCGATCTCTACCGAGTATGTGAACTTATAGTTGGCCGTGTTGGTATGTGTGTCGGAAGACAGCAGTTGCTCGGACGATTTTGATCTGCTGCAAGTTGAAAAATAACACTCATGCGAGATATTTTTTTGTTTCACCTGACAGGGACCACGCTTGCCAAAAACTCGACCATCTTGATCGCATGGCTGCGCTGACTGTAAAAAAAGTCGAGGCCATCCTTCACTTCCTTAACTGAGATAGTATCTTTTTGGGCGCCGTGTTTCAAGATTAATTGCTCGAGGAACAGAAACGTGCGCTTATGGGGCACTTTCTGGCGCACTTGCACAAGTGCCTTCCAGGTGTTCTTTGCGGCAAGCTTCGCACAGTCTGAACATTGACCGTGTTGCACAAGGTACTCGAGCTCGAACGTCTGCTCGAGTACCGTGTTGGTGAGTACCTGGGAGGTTTTAGCTTCTCGAAGACAAAGTTTTTCAGGAAGCGCACCTCTTTCTGGATCGTTATCGACAAGCGGAGGCGCTTGGAATGCGGTTCGGTCCAGATAAAGTGGGCCTCGGTGAGGCGGACTTTGTTGAGACCCTTCAGTTTGCGAAGGCAGATGGAGAGCAACTCAGGAGATTCAGGCCGCGCGATTGTCCACGTTTGCGGGGGCGACAAGAAACGTTCGCAGTTCCGACAATAAGAGACTGAGGCTGGCAAAATCTTGAGTAGGAGACGCAGAGCGCAGCTGGATCGCACGCACCTTGTTTCGGGATACCCTCCGTGATATCTACGCTGTCCCCGCAAGGTTCAAGTTATAAACTACTCGAAGACTGAAGTAAACGACACACGAATTGCGGAGGCATGCGACGCAGAGATTGGCTGAGTTGGGAGTGATTGGCGTTCCTAGAGAAAGTTATTTG